AGAAACCTCAGACTACTCTATGACGGCCAAACATAACTTGTCAACATTCTTCATCTCACTACTGCAAAGAAAGGTCAGAAACTTTTTAGCTAAGTCTGCTCCTTGTATGCCATGATTCTGATCACTTCAACTGTTCCAACATAGGCCAAAACACTTGGAAAATAGTGGTCTGAGACTGATGGACACCATTTTTGGTAATCTTCTTCCTGCAGGACGCAAACTAGAAAGCTATATCCTGGAATTTGTACAGCGAAGAGACTTATCCCCTCCCACTAAATAACCAACCGCTACTAAGGTTGGCAACTTCTGGATGAACTCAAATATGGTTCTTAAAAGAGACATTTCTCTTGATTTGAAGACTTCAAGTAATGGGAGAACTAACCACTTCTGCTGAGCTGCCTCAATTCTCAATGACTGTCATTGTTAAGAGGTACTGTTATTTTTGTTTGAATTTCTGTGCCTGTACCTGGTAAAAGGGAGAACTGTTTCACCCTAACACTCTTCCTCTTGTAGAAATGCTTTCTCCATGTCAGCCCTCAATCATCTCTTCAGCAAGCGGAGTCGTATCAAGAAGGGCCAATAGACCAGGTCGGTAAGTGCCCCCATGCAAAATTTGTTTTTCAAACCCCAGGTCCTCACAGGTCTTTTCTACCTCTCTCAGGTTTGCAACATTATTTTCAAAACATGGACATGCAAGAGAAGATTTTCTAGTAAATACCCCAATTTAAAACTAGCTCCCCAAGATAAGCATTTCCAACAGTCTTTAACAAAACACATTTTATTTCTCCACAGAGAAGAAAATGTTCATTATTGGAGACAGAGGAGAGGCTGGAAAAAACAAAGCAATCGCCTGCCTCTGGAGCAGTTAGTCGTGATGGGGCATACCATGAGGCTGGAGAAGAGCACTACAATTTTGACAGGTTAACTGGACTTAAGAGTCAGAAGTGTTAAAGTGACCCTGTCATTATGCCATGCTTGAGGGTTAAACATGATTCAGGGGCACTAGTGCACAGACCCTTGTCTACTTAATCCCACAGCAGCCAGCACTTAAAGTCATTGTAATCTTATATTAAAATAAAGGATGAAAAAGAAAGACACTTTCAAAACATTGGTCATTTAAAAGTATAAAGTAATATTCAAACTTCTGAATTATCCAACATTCTGGTTTTCACATTTGACAGTGTTTTAGGCAGTACGAGGAGCGGTACGCTCTCTTCTTTTGGAAGAAGACGCAGATGCTGAAAAGGGCTGGAACTGCCAATATGAGAAGAGCTGTTTCCTTTCTAGAAACAAAATCAAGAGGAGCATAAAAGAGAGGACAAAAAATGCAACTTTTTCCTCACCTACCTTCAGCCTCCCTGGCAAAGGCACCCTCCCACATCTGAGGGTTCCAAACTCCAGCAAACTTTGGTGCTCTGAGCTATTTTTTTTTAAGCTATCTGGGCTGACCACAGCAGGGCTGAGGAGACCCTGAGCTTTGCTAAACCCGTTCCTATCAAGCAGGTGTCGTTCAGGCCACAAGCAACATTGCTAACAGTTGGGATGCTACAGCAAGGCTCTCCTTCCACTTAGAGGGTTTAAGAGCTGGCGGGGTGGCAATTAGACCTTACAGCTGATCATTTTCAGGCCCGATATCCTCAGCTTGACGTCACAATTATCTCTAAAGGAGCTTTTTAAGGACCACATATTTTTTGCCTGATAAATTAAGAGCTGATTTCCAGCAACCCATTTATAGGTTGTTCATTTCCAGATCCGTCTCTAGTTCCATTTCTGAGCCTTGCTTTTCAATCACTAAACCTTATTTGGGGCTGTGTTGACATAAATTTGTTTATAAAAGGTTGAATAATTAGTAATACTAATGGGGTCTTGCATTACCTGCCACGACACAGAAATTGAGCCTTTCAGCTCAGAAACAGATGCTTTTCAGTCAAACCCCTAGAATTCAATAATATGCGACCGTATTTTTTGCTATCGACACCGAAATTACCAAGTGAAGAGAATTGCAACATAGTCAAAATTTGCTAAAAGTATGTTATCCGGAAGTATGTAGTATGTTTATAGGCTGCAAAGATAACAACAACAACAACAAATCTCCTTTAAAATGCATAATTGCTGACTTAGTATCAGGGCAATAAATTAGATTTAATGTCTTAGGAAAAAGTCCAGTATATCTGTATCTCTAATAATATGTAATTGCAAAAAACATGCTATTTGATTTAGCACTTTTACGTAGCTTTATTTCCAAAGCAGAACAAGTATGAGGAAAGAGAAACACTTAGGTTTTTCAATATACTAAATTTGACCTTCAGAGCTACTAGTGAATCTGAATGGAAACTACACTGGTTATTAGTAAGGGCAAAACTCAGCACATGCTGAAATATTTAGGTGTGCTAAAGCTTTCAGGTGTTTGGTTGTGTGAGACAAGGACAGCACAGGATCGGGGGCTGTAATGTGTTCGGAGAAGTCTGAAACAGTAGGACTTCCAGGAGATGGGGCGACTGGCCAGAAGCCAAGGGGAAGTGGGAAAAAATCCAAACGCTGGTGATTGCTGCTACATTTTTGCTTTTGTCTGGTTTGATATGATCAAAAAAATTTATCCAAGTGAGGATATGTTCAGCTTAGACAAAGACTACTTGTGAGATAGTATCCGGGAGTGGGATCTGCAGGAGATAGACACAACTCGATAGCTTGGAGGAGATGAGTGTGGCCATGTGGAAGCTAAAGGACTCCCCCCAGGGGCACCCGGATTTACAGCCACCCCACAACAGCTTTCTTCCACCTGAATTTTCCTGTATATTTTAAACTATTTTTTCAAACTTAGAAAAGATGTATTTCCTTAGCTTTCTTTACATGGTGTTGATACCCAGCATCGCAGAGCAGCGCCCGGGGCACGCACACGTCGGTGGCATGGCTGAATACATGCACAACCCTTCTGAGAAGTGCTGGGTACACCGTGTCCCACGGGCCCTTCCCTTCCCGGGCAGAAATACGGGAGCTGCAGTCTGTGCGAGAGGCAGGGCTGGGTCTGGTTTTCCCTTGGGCACAGGGCAATACTTTCTGCAAGCCGGGGGTTTGCAGTCACTCACCTCCTGGACTACAGACTCGAATGAGGGCTCGGGGTAGAGCTCCGGATACCGGGGATTATTATTTTCCCTCATTTCTTTTGCATGAGACAATGAAACAAGTGACCCAAAGCTTGGAAAATAAATACTAGCACAGAAATGAATGTTTACCATTCAATGTATTATTCCCTTGTGTACAAAGTTATTTTGCCTCTATAATAGCACACAGGTATTGGAATACGATGGCAGATGCACAAAGACCATACAGACATGTCCTACAGGTCTTCATTTCCTTTTGAGTATAATCAGAAAGAAAAGAAACACTGTACAGGAAAGTGCTTGCAAAAAAACAGTTTGTAGAAAAATAATGGCATTGATATACAAAACCCAGAATTGTTTCCTGAACAATAAATGTCTAATATCTCTGGTCCTCAAAGCTTGTTCCTGTTTAATGAAACCCACTGATGAATCAAAAGATCATGAGCTATCAACTTTTCCCTTACAGTTTTTTAATTTTTTTTTTTTAGGTTTCTCTTGCTCTGTTAATAACTGTTATGAAACAATATGGTAGAAAGGAATGTGTACAGGTCTAAATAATACTTTTTTTTATAAATAGCATTCACTTCATTAGCGAAAATATAATATGCCTGTACTTTCTAAGCACCACTGTTTATCCCTAAAGTTCATAGTGCAATTTTCCCTTTTCCCCTATAGAAGTTATACATGAGCAATAATCATTAAAAAAAAATCACTATTCCATTACTACTCCTTTTCCCTTTTTTTTTCCTTTGACCTTTCAAACGGTATTTTTGGCATTTTCTCAGAAACATATACCTTATTACCGCTACCCATAAGCATACAAAATAGGTGAAATATCAGTCTTTCTAGCATATGATGATAGCCACTTATTTTATGCACTATAAAACAAAACAAAACAAAACAAAACGACGAGTGAGATCGTCTCATTCCCTCTTCTAAGTCTGAACGTGACGAAGAAGTGCAGAGGCACACGTGAATAGGTGTAGAGCACCAGTTCTTTAGCTGCTGCATTTTAACACAACCCCGGTCGCTTGTTAGCTGTCTACCAGCTCGCGTGAACATGTCGGTACCTGACAATCCAGCTGACAGGCTTCATTCTGAAAGCTGAATAAAGTCTGGCAAACGCATGGGTTATGAATCTAGGGATCTGTTCGTTTATCACAATCGATCTTACAGTGTTTGCTAACAAACTGAGTCCTCTTCCCTGCCTTAGCGACGGGAGTAGCGTGATGGCACGTAAAAGACTCACAAGAGCCTCCGAGGTTGGATTTTTTTTTAGACGTAGCTGCATGCAAAATTCAAAGACTTATTTGAATTAGCAGACAAGCCTCTCTGGTCTTCCAAAAGGCTGGCAATTTTGTGCTTAAAAAAAAAAAAAACCCTTCCTTTCCTTGTCCTTTGTGCTCCTCCTTGCCCCAAAATACACGGTGAACGGGCACTATCTTCCTACGGCTAAGTAAAAAAGCGGGGAAAGAGATAAGGGTCATAGTCATAGACTACAAAAAATAATCCGGTCACATCACCCCCGTTCGACGTGCTACGGAAACGTGTCGCGCCGCAAGCAGCAGGCTATGTACAGGCGAGGAGCTGCGGTCCTTAGGCGGCCGCGTTTGGCATCCGGGGCGGCGGGGGGACCTTCTCCCGAACCCCCCCCG